AAGGGCTGAACCAGTTGGAATTCCCACCAACAGTGAAGGAGTGTCCCTATCTCGCCACATCTGCACCAGCACAGGTTTCTTTTGTTCTTGTGGATATGGGCCAGTCTCTGTGGTGTGAAATGATATCTCACTGTGGTTTTGATCTGCATCTCCCTGATGATTAATGATGTGGAGCATTTTCTCATGTGCCTTTTAGCCATTTGGATTTCTTTGTGAGTTTCTATTCATTTCATCTCCCCATTTTATGATGGGGTTGGATGTTTTCTTGAAACCCAAGCACAAAAATTTGTAAGTCTGTAACTATACCTCATGATGTCTCACTAATAAAAAGAAAAAAATAAAAATAAAATAAATAATAAATAAATAAACCATATGTTAACATAAGAAAAATACAAAAATACTACCTCAAATTTATTTCACTGTTAATTATAATACTGGTTCCATACAAAAATGAATGTAAAGTTTATCCATTCATTCACTTATGTTAAGCTGAATCATATGAAAATGGCATTTTTGTATGTCAAAACTGTTCCATATAAGACATTTTACAAGGTTCAAGCTGGTGCATTCATTAAAGAAAATCAAATGAATGACAGATAAAAAAGATTGGATTTGCATTTCCCTGATACATAATAAAACTACTTTTTCATATTAAGAAAAAAAGAATCAGGAACGCGGTCTCGTTTGCCAAGGTGTTGAAAATCAGATGGTCTGGACACGTAATGAGATTTGGAGATGACCGCTGAACTATAGTTGTTACTGACTGGATTCCACGGGACATCAAAAGACTGCGTGGCCGCCCACCTGTGGTCAGACTTCTTAGTTAAGACCCTTGAACAATCAGTTTGAGGCTCTTCATGTTCCTAGAACAAACAGACGCCATTGGGCTACACTAGCAAGCGACAGGGATAAATGGAGACGTTACTGGCGCCCACTTGAGCAAATCGATGATTAACGAGAAGTCAAGTGATCAAGTGATAGAGAGGGAAAAAAAAAACAAAGCAAAAGGCAGTGTTTATGAAGTTCCTTGTTGTGGATTATAAAACTTAGAAGCGATAGCACAGCAGGTAGGGCAATTGCCTTGCATGCAGCTGACCCAGGTTCAATTCCTCAGTCCCTTTCGGAGCCTGGAAAGCTACCAAGAGTATCACGCCCCCAGGGCAGAGCCTGGAAAGCTCTCCGTGCATATTCAATGTGCCAAAAACAGTAACAATAAGTTTCACAATGGAGATGTTACTGTTGACAGCTCCAGCAAATTGATGAACAACAGGAGGACAGTGCTACAGTGCAGATTACAGAAAGAAGTGTCAGGGGAAAAGAGGTGGACTAGAAGTAAATTAAGTGCAGTGGAGGATGGGTCTTAAACACTCTTGTAGTGGTGAGAGATAGCATCAGTTTACATTAAAACCATAAATATTAACATTATGGTGATCATGTAGCCTAAATTATGATTTTTAATTTAACAAAACAAAAAGAGCAAAGCAAAATCACCAAGCACAATATTCTGTCACTATATTAACTTACATATTTTGTGTAGAACTATGTGATGCTACCCACTCACAATGAACCTACGTACCTATAATAATTCCATATTATTTTCATATCATTCTCAACTCTTTCTGAATCTACTTCCATTATTTAGCACCATGCCTAACAATTAACAAATCTGAAGAGTTTACTGTATATTTTTCAAAATAGTATTTTGATTTGTTGCTGATCTGCCTCTTTAAAACTTTGAGTATCAGATTAGTATTAGTCATGCTAATAAATTTTCTACACATTACCTTTTCTTTTGTTGTCTCAATCAGCTAGCATTATGCTCCAATTCATCCTCTTGTGGAAGAAATATAAATTTGAAATACTCTGTTCTTTTCTAATTGTCCTGGATGTCCTAATGATTGTTCTCAGACAGAATGAAATCATGATTATTCCCAGATAGAATGGATTCAAGATCAGATGTCCGATATTAGAGGCTGATGAAACTGTATTTCTTCTCAGTTAACTGTATATCAGACAATTGATGAAGGGGAATATCAAGGTGGCAAGAAACAAAAATTGCATCAGATCAAAAAAGGCTGGGGTCAAAGAGCTAGTAAGGGATTAAGGGGCATGCATGTGAAAGAATGGGCTCAAGCTCCAGCAACACATGTTGCCCAAGTAATGTGCTCTGGTAGTCCCCACCACTATGGTATTGGGCCTGAGCAACACTTCATCCTCATTCTTTAGCACTTATCAATTTGCTTTGTTGGTGGAGAATAGCAAAGTAGCTCCTTAGTCCCCTAGGCACTGCTTGGCAAACTCCCCTTCACCAATAAAATAATCAAAAGGGCTGTTCCTTCTAGTGCAGTTGGGTTCTTCTTCCTAATTCTGCAACCAGTCAGAAAGAGGTGGTTACTTGACTCTGCTGGACTCACTGAGTTGTCCTCACATGACTAATTTCACTGGCCCGTGGAAATCCTTAGAAATGAAAAGTTACTTCTGAGATAGGAGAATAGCCAGTGTAAATATAAGTGGAATATAAGTACCCTAGAAGGGGAAGGAATCAGGAAGCCTTGCCCCTCAGGGAATACTATTCCCTGGTGCATTCACTGTGAAGCCTAATAATTACAACATTCTGTTATTATGTTAAGCAAACATCTTTGTTTGCACAAGGACTAGTGACGTGACGGTTGTACACTGTCTTTTAACATGTCAACATCATACCCCCTTCCATTTCTGATCAATTCCTGTCTTTGATCGTATCTCAATTACTATACATATATAATACAGGAAATCTTAACATTTTTTCCAAAACATGTGTGTTAATCTCAAAAGGCGAGAACAATGTGGCCCACGACCTATTGCAGCCTAACATCAATTGGAACCAAGAAATTCAGACAGAGTGACCTATGGATGACTTTCTGCTTCACTGAAATACATTTTCTTTCCTTTCTTTAAAAAAAATAATAAATTAAAAGTATATGACAAAATCCAACATCTACTGATGATAAAATTTCTTGGCATCATTCTTATTATTTTTTATTTTTTACTGAATCACAGTGAGATACACAGTTACAGGGTTGTTCATATTGGGTTTCAGTTATGTAATGTTCCAACAAGCATTCCTTAATCAGTGTACATTTCCCACTCGGAAAACTGGGGACAATGGTGGTGTAATACATTTCCTTTCCTTTTTTTAAAAAACATTTTTATTAAATCACTGTGAGATTACAAAGCTGTTCATGATTTGATTTCAATCATACAGTATTCCAATACCAAGGTGTAATACATTTTCATAGTAAAATCTATACCCATATATACTATGACAGCTTATATTGCTATGGCAATCCCAGAAAGTGACCAAAAATAGTTAGAATATGATTGGCACTGACTTCTGAATAGTTTTGACTCCAAAATATCGCTCTTCTTGGAAATGTCATGAATATTTTACTCCTTATTAAATTTACTCTATTTTATACCTGCAATACCAGAATTTTGCCTAGAAATCTCTAAAGTATGCCCACACTGATCCTTTGAATACACCTGCTGCTTATTTTTAAGTGTGTTCTATTCTCAAATAAATCTTTTACTATATTTTATTTCTGTGATTTGTGCTTGAAATTTTTTCCTGTATCAAATGGTCCTTGGATCCGGGCCTAAAAGCTTTAGCCAGCACCACACTTCTGAAGAAGACCATATTTTTACACTTTAAGAAGGTAAGAAGGGGTTTAGAGTCCAAAGCCCCAGGGATCCAGCTCTCAAGCTCAGAGGACAGTAGGAAAAGTTATCCCTGGGGCTTCCTGTCTTGTTTTCACCCTTTTCATTTCCACAATCAAGAAGTGGAAGTAAACACCATGGCTGCAAAAACCTGTTCCCTCATTTTATCTGAAAAGCCTTTTGTTTGTTTTTGTGCCACACCCAGTAATACTCAAGACCCTGGGATCACTCTTGGAGAGCTCAGAGATTATATGGGGATCAAATCCGGGTCCCCTTATTATCTCTGACAGCCCCCATGGGATCTGCCCTTTGAAAAGTCTTAAATGCAGACATTTTTATTTTTCCTTCTGGTGAAAGTGTTTTGATTCTCTTTAAGAAACATGACCCCAGCAGCAGGCTGCAATAGATAACAGGCATACTGCAATAGAACACACACACACACGCACGCACGCACGCGCGCACACACACACACACACACGCACACACACGCACACACACGCACACACGCACACAAGCACAGGCGGTTCAAAACATTTCTTTTCCACAGTGGCTGCGACCCAGTTCTGAAACTCAAGAACCCCAGTGGACTCTGGAGTATCCCAAGGAGCAGGCCTGAGTCTGGGTTGAGCAGCTCCTCCCCACCTCTCCCTCGCCACTCTCGACAGCCTCCCTCCACCTTCGAAAGAAAATGCTTTCTTTGCCTGGAAGACTCGACAACCAGATCGATCTACTATACCAAGAAGAAGAAGAAGAAGAAAAAATCTCCGCCTAGAGATGGCACTTGAGCGGCACCGCCGCAATCTCCTGGGGGAAAGCCCGGGAGGCAAGAACCGATGATTCTCAGTCTCAAATCCTCTGAGCCTGGGTCTCAGGAGGCCAAGCCTTTGCCAGAGGTCTCCACCTCCCCTGCTCAGCGTTCTGTACCCGCTCCCCACCAAGCCACACTAGTGGCTTCTCGGAAATTGTTGGCAATTGGATTCTGCTCAGCCAGGAAGCGAGGAAGGGGTGATGGGGCCGGGAGGAGATGAGAAAAGGGCTCTTGGAGACACATACACATCCGACCCGAGGGCATTGTCCCAACAAGCTGGTGGTCGGGACCCCTTCCTTCGCCTGCTCCAAGCGCTCGGTGGAAGCCCGCCGCCCCGCCACCTCGGGGCCCCTGGAGGGAGGAAGGTGGGAGGGTGGGGACCCGGCGTGGAGGGCGGGGTGCAGGGAGTACCCGGGGCTCCGCAGCGCCGGAGGGCGGAGCTCAGCATCCCTGGGCGCGCCCCGGGAGGAGGGGCGCAGGCTCGGTGCAGGCCGACTCCCAGGCTCGCGTGCCCAGCGTCTGCTTTCCCCAACCGCGCCGGCTGCGCTGCCTGGGACCAAGCTCGCTGGGGTCGCGCGCGGCTGGGAGTGGCCGGCGGCCGTGGAGCAACAGGAGCTCAAAGCAAAGAGAGAGAAAGCAGCGGCAGAGTGAGAACGCCGGGGGAGAGAGAAGCCGGGAGAGAGGAAGGGGTCCCCGAAGCCCGCGCCCGTCCCCCGGGGCCAGAGTGTGCGGGTGCGCGGGGTGGGCATGAACGGCGGGCTAGGCTGCAAGTAAGTGCCTTTTCTCTTTTGCTGCTGGGCGGCGGCCACACCAAAAGCCACCAGCGCGTCTCGAGCGCGCCCCGTCCGCGCCACACCCACCTGGGCTTTCACACCTCCAGCATTTGCCTCACCCTGGTGTTCACGCCACTTTTGCAGAATATGGGGGGGAGGGGAATTCGGAGCAGGCTTATCTCGGTAATTGGTGCCAGAGAAGCTGGACAACCAACTATTTCTATTGCAGGCCGGTCCTGGGAGGGCTGGGAAGGTGTGAGTTGGTTTGCTGCCAAGGTTGAGAAAATGTGCCTGGGGAGGCTGCTATATCTGACGGTTGAGTGTCGATTCTTTCTGGCTAAACGGGCAGAGGTGTTGGAGGAGTTCTGGTCATTTTGTTGACTAGCAAAAAGCGCGTGGTGTGTTTGGCAGCGCTAAAGCCGAGGGTGTGCCCAGCAGACCTGAGACTGCTGGTGGGCACCGCGAAGAGGCGCCGCGCCCCAAGGAGCACACGGCACAAACAATTAAGGCTGCGGAGCAGCATTTCTCTAGAAAGCTTTATTATTTGTTTATTATTTTTTTTAATGAGTAAAAATGTTAGGGTGAAATAGGTTCAGATTCAAAATCATGTCAACTTTTGATCGACTTCAGCCGAAGCTCGTTTAGTCTTGGAAAAGCTATTTTCATTACCTGTAGATTTAAAGATTTAAAGAGAAACACAGGGTTACTGCTAGACACTTGGGTGTCAACTTTTGTGACTATAATAAACATTAATCATTTTGCTAATTTGTTTTGCTGTTTGTGTTTTTAAAGTTGCTGCATTAATAGCAATTTATATATCCTCAGAAGCTAAGAGCAAATTTTATATGAGTAAAGCTTAAGGGAATTTTTTAAAGTTCTCTGCAGTAAAGATGAAATCAACATAAGCATGCATTTTTGTCTCTCATTGATGCTGGTTGATGTTTTGTTCTTAACAAAAACATGGTCTTTTCTATTCCCCCTCCTCTGTGGATAGGACAATTCCTTCCTTCCATTCTTCTTTCCTTCCTTCCTTCCTTCCTTCCTTCCTTCCTTCCTTCCTTTCTCCTTCCCTTCTTCATTTTTTGAATTAAAAATGTTTTACAAGTTTTGCTTTAATATCAATAAGATATGCACACACATATATATATAAAATCTGCAATTCAAATCTATTATTTAATTGCCATGTTATGACAAGTTTTTACATTCCTTTCCCAATACTCTTAAATTTTAAAGTATAATTCACTTATAAACTATGGGAAGTAGAATTTTAAAAATCTATTTGTTTGAAAGTCACTTTTAATTTTTATCTGTGTAAGTAATTTTGGTTGCTAGAATAACTTATTTATGGCAAAATGCTAGACAAAGTATGATCTTTGCTATCATGGAAGAGTTTTCCTCTAAACCACTGCTAATTATTTTGCTTAAGATAGTTTCTGATCGTTAAGATTGTACACATTTGAAATGCCTCTTTTGGATGATTCCTTCAGAAATGTACCACTGTATCCTGAGCTGGCTCTATATTTTTCAGAAGCAGGTATACCATATTGTAGGATTCCTACGTTGCAGGCAGTGCTCACAGGGTACCTGATACTTCTGCAAAGGAAACATGAGTCAGGCCAGGCTTTCTGCCAAAAACATCCCTGTGTGCCTCTGGTGTCTTCCAGTGCTCACAGAGAATCATGGGAGCCCTCCTATATTTTTTGCTACCTGTTGCTGATGAGTTTTGCCAGCAAAGAAAAGAAGTTTAGATGTGCAATTAGTGTTGTCCTATTTAACGTACTATGACCAACACACTTTCTCTGGCAGGGTGGGGTGCAGGGGCACAGAATCTTGTGTTGCACATGAATGGTAAGTTATATTTACTTAATTTCTTCTCCTGGTATATATATGAAAGAGCGTGAAACTAAAAAGATTTATGTGGATATTTTTCTAAGACAAGGCATGCCCCTGTAAAGTAGTTTAAAGGTCTGTGACTATAAATAGATCATACTAAATGTCACAATGGTGATATGATGATTTCCCCCCCCCCAAAAAAACTCTATCTCAGAATTCTTTGCCCGATCTTTGTCATTTAAATTAATTTCATGCATCCCTTCTCACCTTGTTTCCTGAGAATGACTGCCCCCCTACCCCTATCCTACCAATTGGCTCCTAATTTACCTGATTTTTACCTGTACCCTCCTTAGAATATCCAGAGGCCCTGTTTTAGAATATACATATGGTCCCCTGTGGGAAAATGCGGTGTAAACTGATGTTTCTGCCATCCACCCAGTATTGATTGTGCTTTTCCTCTGGATAGCATTTCATCTCTCTCCAGTTCCTATTTAGGCCTATGAGGGTTTTGTTGTTGCTGTTGTTGTTTTAAATTTTAATTTTTATTGAGTCACCATGAGACACAGTTACAAAGGTGTTCATGATTGAGTTTCAGTCATACAGTGTTTTATCACCCAGCCCTTTCACCAGTGTACATTTTCTACCACCAGTGTCCCCAGTTTCCTTCCTGCCCCACCCCTCCAGTCTGCCTCTGTGACAGGCATTTTTTCTTCACTTATTTCCTCTCTCTCTCTTCCTCCATTCCTCTCTCTCCCTCCCTCCTTTTCCTTCCTTCCCTCATCCTCTCCCTCCCTCTTTCCATTTTTTTTTTACATTGAGGCAGTATTTTCGTCAGTATTGTGGTTTGAAATACTGTTACCTAAAGGGCATCATGCATATATCATTTTACCTCCTTTCAGCACTCAGGTCTGTCTTGTTCAGAGTGATTTCCAATTATCAGTGTCATAGTGGTCCCTTCTCTGTTCTAAGTGCACTCCCTTCATCCCCACTTATATTAAGCTTCTTTCCATGGATAGGGCTATAGTTCTTTTACTCAAATGTATCAGTGTTTGGTTGCATTTATCAGATATATGTCTTCTGTGCCTAAGAACATTTATTGTCTCATAATGACATAGGGAGAAAAATAAGACCCACATAAGTGCAGCATCAACAATCCGTTTATCATAATGCCATTCTGATCTTGATCCTTTCTTACCATCTCACTGCACCACATCATCCCCTCATTTATAAGCCTCAGACCCTCAGGGTCTTTTGGTGCTGGCAGTTATTTCACTTCATTTTGCATTTTCACATGCTGCTCGCAGTGCAGTGTTTGAAAGGTTGCTTGCTTATGCTCAAAGTTCTTTTTCAAAGAGACATCATTCTTGATCAATTGTTTAAACATAGAGTATTACCTATTAACCTCTATCTTGGTACCTCATATGTTGTCTTCAGATTAACTGCTAGTTCAGGTAGGTATTAGTGAATTTGCATGTAGAATGGCCTAAGTGGACAGTCATCAACTTTAATGTTGACTCAGCCTGGCAAGAAGTCGTAAGTGGGCTACTAGCTATCTATGAAAATACTAAAGTAGAAAGACAGGATATTTTTAATTAGTGGAGATCTAATGATTTTTAACTTTATACAGCATGATTACTAGTATTTGTTCATTAGATTATCACCACAGCGTCTAGTTAACATCTATTACCAATATATGATTTCTATTACAATAAGAAAATGTCAGCCCAGGAAATAGATGTATTCTCTGATTCAGCTTGGTTTTTTTTTTATATATTTGTTGAGCCTCTGGTTTATTTATAATCCTGGTTTTATGATTTTGATGAAATAAACTGAAATACACATTTAGTAGTGCAGGCAATGCTATGTTCAAAAGGAAATGCACAATAATGCATTCTTATGGCTGAGAAAGCTCCATGGGCTGAGCACATTCTTTGCTTATGTACATGGCAGGTCCAAGTTCTATTTCCTGCACCAAATTGTCCCCAGAGTATAGAACTGAGAGTATCCCCCAGCACCACTCTGCATGGCCACCAAAAAAAAAAAAAAAAGAAAGAAAAAAAAGTGCATTCTTAGAAAGGTCACCAGAGCTAAATTATGAAACACATTTTAGAATTAGAAGGCTGCAGACATAGTTTAATTGACTAAATGCACGCTTTGCCTATTAGGGGTCCAGATTCAGTCTCTGGCACTGCATGCTCCCCTAAATACGCCAGGTATGACACCTCAGCACTGAGTAGGGAGTAGCCCCTGAACATTGCTGACTATGATCCTCAAACAAAAAATACAAACCCAAAAAACCCCAAACCTCTCCACAAAAATTAGAGTGCATAGGCTAGTCCAACTTTAGTAGGAGTGACTTTGTGTAGGTTGGGGAGTGGAGGCAGTGAAGGGGAATGATGGATCACACAGCACAGCTCAGCGGCTATTCCTGGCTCTGTGCTTGGAGACCTTAAGCATGCCAGAACTTCAACTGTGGTCAGCAGTGTTCAAGGCAAGTGGCTTGACTTATACTACCTCTCTGGCCCTTAGTAAGTCTGACTCTTAATAAAAAATGGTAATCTTAATGTTCAAATTTGTATATTTTACCAAGAAGTTGAGAGTCACTCAGTAATGGCTAAGTTCACAATATTGTTTTATAATAACTATGAGCTTACTGAATTGTCTTACAAAAAGTGGTCAAAGGAGGCTGAAGTCATAGATCAGGTGCTGTTATTCAAATTAGTGTTTATTTCAAATTTAATGGGCAATTATTTTTCAGACCCTAACTGTGAACTGTGGAAGGCTCAGAAAGAACCTGACTAATTCATGATCTATTGTTATTTTGGGATCAGGGTCGGATGGACTCAAATTTCTTATTTGTTAATGATGATGTCATATTAATACTAGAATTGTTATGCACACATATATATATAGACTTCATGCAGCAATAGTTCCTCTTCTTTAAAACTACACTTAAAGACAGCAAAAATTAGTAACTTCACTATTAACATTTGATGGAAATTTAGCTTTCAGTTTTGGAAGCAGCTTCAATGAATAGTTTTTGTTGACTCATATTTTTTCACTAATAAGAATTGGCAATCTGTTTCTCAAACTGTTTTATGAATTATTACATGGGATTCTGGTACATTTGCTACTAAGGTGACTGAATGGGTTGGTTACTATGT